AAATCGTTTAAATTTTGATAGAATGAAGGGAATAAACTCTTATACCTATATTTCAATTTTCGTTAACCTAATTAAAAAGGCACTAACCTATCAGTATCTTAGAATTAAGACATAATGTACAACTTCAATTTTTTGAGGTCACTAAACATTTGCCAGTAATTCCAATATAAGATCATGTATTTATATACGAAATTTATTCTAACTACCTGAACGTGCTCGTGTCGTAGCCTTCACATAAAAATAAGCCCATATATACTCCGTATATGATGAACAGCTGAGGTGAAAATGGTATCAAATGTCATGTGATTTTTGTGCATGATAACAATACTTCCTCTAAACTCTGTATATGTGAATGTAAAAATACACCTTTTATTTACTGTTAACAAATACTGTAAATTGCATCTCTATTTTGTATAGCAGAAGCGTAGCGAGAAGGGGAGGTGCGGACCGCACCGGGTGACACCATTTAGGGGGGGGGGGGTGGGTGAAACCAAGGCAAACAATAGAAAAATATATATAGAAAACTGATAATTCCACTTAATTAAGTGATTAATTAGAGTGTTAAATAGTCTTTTAAGAGGTGTAAATTGAAAATTGGAGAGGAGGGATGCAAATCGAAAATTGAAAGTTTGTCCCCGGGAAAGGTTACTACGCCTCTGGGGGGTGACACCATTAAGTGCCGCACCGGTTTACACCCGACCTCGCTACGCCACTGTTGTGTAGTACTTTTTATAAAACTTAAAACAGACAGAAGATGTACACTTTATGGGTCGGGCAAGTTGGCAAGTCCTGGATATCCCTTACGATATTTGAATGATCAAAAATATACATGGACTCTATCAACTCGAGCTAAAGCTAATATAATTTTAAAGTAGGTATTTATAACACTTACATTACTAAAACGTTGTACCTTTTACGTAGGTGACATTGTACTAAACTACTTTGTTCTTAAAACATATTTTTTGTAGCATATCGTTTGTGGAAACAGAGTCTTGTCAATACGACTATATCACCGTGTACGACGGAGCTTCTGTAAATGCTCGAAGTTTTAGAACAATTTGTGGTATGAAAGACTCAGCTGTGATTGTATCGACAACAAACAACTTATTGGTCACTTTTAAAACAGATGGTTCCAATACATACAAAGGATTTTATGGGGAGTTTTATTCACTAAGTAAGTAATCAAAATTTTGGAGCAGATGTATTGCATATCAGACAAAAACTTGTGCGAACACTTGAAACACTAAAGTGTTAAGAACCATGCACTAACAGAATAGCATCATATAATACACACACATTTAAGAAATATAATTGACGTATTACTTTGTTCATAAATGCTACGAATATTCGACCCAACTAGCCAAACATTGCTACAAAACAATAGTCCGATCATTTTAAAAAAATCTTTAGCTATATTTTCTCACGTTGTAATTTATTATATTTTATTTCTATCATAAAAATTTCACACCGTAGCAGAGGCGATTGTATAAAGTGCTGACCACCAAGGTCTTTGAAACAGATGAACACTACTTTTTCTACCTCACATGTCTTGGGTTAAAACGGGAAGAGGCTACAAAATAAAAATATGCTTATATTACACATAACATAAATATAGCAACATCGGCTGAAAACTCAGTGTGCTTTGATTATCAATATCGGCACTCATTTATTTTCTTAAATGACAGTTTGCATGATCTGACCTATGCAGATACCCACACCATACTGAATGAACCTAAAGGTGTCATCTCTAGTCCTGGATATCCAATTGGTTGCCTGGGGAACATGTTTTACACCTGGACTATACAAGGCAACGCATATACTTACATTGTTCTCAAGTACGTTGGTTTTTGTGTAATAGAATGCACCAAAAATAATATTAAACCTATTTCATGTTTCGCTGTAAGATGTTATCAATAAAAATGAATACTAATAATTAGGAAACATTTTTTGTGTTTAATCATACATACAAAATAAATAACATTGTAATAAATGATATCGAATACAGTGTTTCGGATTTTAATTTGGGAGATGATTGTGACAATGAAAACCTTACAATACACGACGGTTCATCGAATGATTCAACATTGATTTGGAGTTTCTGTTCATCAAAACCTTGGACAATAGAATCAACCCGTAACTATTTGTATCTGGATTTCAAAGCAAATGGATTGAACACACATAAAGGATTTTATGCAAATTATGAAATCAAAGGTAAATATGTTTTATATAATATCACGTGATTTAAAGCTGATCCTCTCGACTAATCAAATGACATTTAAAACAGTATAATTGTATTCTACTTGTATAATGGTGTGTTTACCCAGTTTAGTGTTTCAAACATGGCTTCATCGCATCCTTACCCACAAAACCTTGTAGCGAATCCGTTGCCGAATTGTATTCCCTCAATTTCTTAATGGCAGAAAACGTGTGGCATTATACTTGTAACCATCGTTTTGAAGTTGTTTCATGCTATTCTTCTTATTTGGAAATCAGCGAGAACCTAGTTTACGAAAAGAAGACAACTTTACCAAATATATTAAACAACACTATAATGGGGAAGGTTAGTCAAAAAAATTGTTTTACAATCAATACATTTCTAGAAATATTGTTCAATCAGTTAATTTTATAAAAGTTTTTACAAAAAGTTAAACTGAATAAATGTCATTACATCTAATATAAAGATCAAAAAGTAAAAAAAAAAACTATCATAGTGTTACACGTAGAGAAGATTAAAAAAAAAAAGTAATTATATATTGCTTTGTCGCTCGGTAGATAATAACGATAGCTGCTATTTGGCTGAGTTGGGAAACTTGAATGGTGCCCGATAATCAACTTCTAAGACGTATTACAATATTGCGGATAACAAGGACTGCTTTTGTAGTTGTAGGCAATTGTTGTGTAGGCACACCCCTCACACCAAACTTAACTTAACTTAGTCCTCTTTGCTCCTTATGGAGCATAGGGCCTCCACCATTTCCTTCCGTTTCTTCCTATCCTCGGCTATTAATTTTGACATCTCCCAAGACATCCCTATTGCCTTCAGTTCTTCAAGAAGACTCCGCCTTCAGGTCTGTCTTGGGCGCCCTCTCTTCCGCTTTCCCTGGGGGTTTCACTCAAGCGCTTGGCGTGTATCACTGCTTTATCACTCACACCAAACGCTTTCTTTTATATTTTTTTAATAATCCCAAATTGTTTCAGCTGCATAACAGCGCAAAATGTTATTGCGACTAACAACAAATGTGTAAGTATGTGATATAAAATAAACAATGTATATAGAATCTGCTAATTTCATAAGTTATATATATATATATATATATATATATATATATATATATATATATATATATATATATATATATATATATATATATATATATATATATTATATATATATATATATATATATATATATATATATATATATATATATAGTTGAATTAAATTTGTAAAATTTTACAAAACAATAATATTTTAAAACGTAAAGCCACAATAGCAACTGTGTTGTTATATCGTTCCTCTGAACAAGTCTCCTTCTGGAAATCATGCATTTGCATATTAGCACTATGCAATTTTAATAAGGGGACGGTTGCATATAAACTATATATATATATATATATATATATATATATATATATATATATATATATATATATATATCATTACAATCGATTGAAAGTATTTTCTTGCTTTTTAAAAGGAACAGGAACGTGGTATCTTAGACGTTAAAAAAAAATGGAATGCGATCATAAAAATCATATCGTTTTATATTAATGATTAAAATTATTGTTTTAAAAAATTGGTCTTATATATTTTATTGTTATATATTCTAGATTGTGTTAAATACTAATAAAACTATTGTTATTAATGTTTATTAAAATAATTTTAAATGTCATATTAAAGAGTTGAATTACATTAATGTAATTGATTTCATTTTATTAGAGATAGTATGGACATATGACTTGAACATGTTGTATGTTTTACATTTTATAATATAATATAATTAATATGTTGTTAATTTCTTTTTTTTAATATAAATATGGCAAATTCTGTGTTGTAACCAGCGCTTACAGGCCTACACCTACACGTACACGTACACGTACACGTACACGTACACGTACACGTACACGTACACGTACACGTACACGTACACGTACACGTACACGTACACGTACACGTACACGTACACACATACATTGGCCTACACATTCATTATAGATTTTATTACAATAAACTGCGTTTTTATTTTTAAAATTATGATGATGAGTTATTAAAGAAAAAGTTAAGGTGGTTGAGTTATTATAAATTTAACAAATTAATAATAACATATTATGAAAGGCTATTACGGGTATATTAATTAACACGGCATTTAAATAATATTAAATATCTGCTAGTTTTCTACAACTTGTCAAAGAAAACTAATAGATTACAATCAAACACCCACTAAAACAAGGCATTTCCGTCGGAAAGTAAGGTAATGCATATTGTGTATATATACAAAATTGCTTTTATAAGAATATAAATACAAATGATACTACTCTATAATGTTGTATACTTACTTTTTAAACTAGAGAACATAATAGCGACCAATTTAGTATGATCATCCTCTTTTCCCGTTCATGCCCAAGACAAAGTTGGGCAGATGAAGTGGATATCATCCGTTTCAGGGTCCTAGGCTTATGAAGGAGTAGTATGGTCAGCGCGATGCACAGCCGCGTTGCTTTCCCAAAAAGAGAGTGTACCCATCAGAGCGGGGTGGAGTCACGAACGTTCTACTGACTTGAACCCGGATTCGAAATCGAGATGTTAGCTCTCTACTGCTACGCTGCGCCGTTCCATATTCAGCGTGATAATGTATATGTTATATGCAATAATGCATTTTATTTTAAATGTGTCATATTGCAGTGTATATTTCTAATTGTTAACTGCAAATTAATGTCTGTAACCGTATCTTTTTTAGAACGTATGTTTGATAAAAAATGTGATGTTTACATTTCTCAGCAATGCAGTGTTCAAGCAGTTTCGCAAGCATACAAAATGGAAAAGCATACTGCCAATTGGAATATGGAAGTGAATGCCATTATTTGTGTAAAGAAGGCTTCAAGCTACAGGGTCCAGAAGCAGTGAAATGCGTTGATCATGATGGTGGAGTAGCTTGGGAACCTAATGAAAAGCCCAGTTGTGTCGGTAGGGATACATCTGATACATTCATACATAAATAAATACACGCATACATGCATAAACATATATGAATATATATATATATATATATATATATATATATATATATATATATATATATATATATATATATATATATATATATATATATACGAATACATGTGACGTAGTGTATTTTTTATTATTAGACTAAGAAAAAGACTAAGATTAAAACTAAGACTGAGACTGAGACTGACGTTGAATTTTACGTTGACGCTGACGCTGACGTTGACGCTGACGCTGACGTTGACGTTGACGTTGAATTTGACTTTGACGTATATGGAATGATTGGCGTTACCGTAAACGTAGGTGTTTTTTGTAAATATATTTATAAGTTTGTTAATATGTTACCCTTGTTTAAGTTGACGGTTGTCCTAGAGAAAACGTATTAAACTTTGCAAATGGAATGATTTACTGTGTTGGCGCTGAGCAAGATTATTGGATAGGCAGCACGTGTATGTATTCATGCAACTTAGGATACTATCTCAATGGAGAAAACAACACAGTGTGTCAAGCTTCAGCTACGTGGAGTCATCCGAAACCAAAATGCGAAGGTATGCCGTTGTAAAAATAATGTATTAACTTTTTTGCTTGTTAGTTTGTTATAATTGTAAAATATTCATTTAAAAACATCTCAAATGTAAAATATGTGATATCACGTATTGAAAAAAATTTATATATAGTAGATAATTGCTTTTAAAGAAAATGAGACGTACAATAGTCAACTGTGACGTTGGCTACGAACTTATTTATAACAGAAATACAATATGTGGGAGCGATGTACAATGGGCAATGCAAATATAATGCATCAGATAACAGTTGAATAAACTTTATGAGTGTAAAAAGAAAAAAAAATAATTTTAATAATTAATCTACATTATCAATATTTACGATTAAATCACGTTTCAAAATAAATATTCTTATAATGTTTCATTTATACTATTCGTCTTAGCAGAGGCGTAGCGAGGGGAGGGGGGGGGGGAGGGTGCGGACCGCACCGGGTGACACCATTTAGGGAGTGGGGGTGACACAAAGGCAATAAATAGCAAAATAAATATAGAAAAATGATAATTCCACTTAATTAAGTGATTAATTAGAGTGTTAAATAGTCTTTTAAGAGGTGCAATTCGAAAGGTAGAAGGGGGGGGGGGGTTGAAAATCGAAAGTTTGCGGAGGGAGGGGTGTGCAAATCGAAAGTTTGAGGGGGAAGGTGCAAATCGAAAATTGAAAGTTTGTACCCGGGAAAGGTCGCTGCGCCTCTTGGGGGGGGGGGGGAGGGTACACCATTAAGTGCCGCACCGGGTGAAACCCGACCTCGCTACGGCACTGCGTCTTATGAGTGTAGTTTCAATGTATCAAAATACCTCGCAAATGCATAGGATTACAGTATACGGTTTGCAAGTATACATTAGTAGCTAATTATCACACAGTTTTATTTTATATGTAATTTATTTCGTTTTAATTTAATATTTTTTTATGTTGAACTATATTTAAAACAAATCTGATTCTAGGATAACATGTATTTTGTGAATTACGATTTGGGGAGAGTAAAACGAAAACTAAACTTATAGGACATAAAATTGTATATTATATTGGTCAACAATTAATTACTTTTTAATAAATAGATTTTAGTTTCTAAAGTTAATAAAATTTGTTAGTAATGATAAAAGGGAAATAAAGTGAAATGTATTTATTTAGTTGTAGAATGTAACGAGCCGCCCAGTGTCCGTGGTGGAATGTTTAACTGCACGTCGACATCGCCAGCGTATCAAACGGCATGTGAACTGACATGCGATGCGGGCTACAGACTGGTAGGCAAGACAACAATCACTTGCATGATAAACGCTGTATGGTCAGATCACGGCTATTGTGAAGGTAACATTTTTTTTGCAGTAGAGATATGATGTCAATTTTATTCAATATAAATTTTACTAACTTTTTTAAATTTCTGTACTTGTTTAAAATAAAGTATGAAAAGAGATTGTTCACAATCCAACGAAGAAATAAAAGTAATCTATATAAAGGCAGGAAGTAGTGAACAAAATTATTCAGTGAGAGACCACAAATTCATGGTGGCTTAATATTTCGTAGTAACTGCTATTTAAATATTAATAAAATGAATATATATATATATATATATATATATATATATATATATATATATATATATATATACATATATATATATATATATATATATATATATATATATATATATATATATATATATATATATATATATATATAAATGACATAATGATTTAAATATTAGAATGTGGTGGATGTAAAGATGACCATTCTTATACTTATCTACAAAATGGGGAAGTTAACTGCCAGTTTGATCCTACGGATGGTCACCGTGGATTGTGTAGCTACTACTGTCATCGAGGCTATGAAATTCACGGACAGCACGTTGTAAACTATCATCTTGACTTAGGTTGGAATGGCAGAAAACCACAATGCTACCGTATGCTATAAAATTATATCTTTTTAACATAAACTGTAACTTAAATGATTCGGAAAAAAATGTATTTAAATGATATCGATAGATAACTGGTCGGCTATTGCGTTGTAAAATGTAACATGAAAACTAATTCCAGCAATCAGATGTCCCAAGTTTGATGTTGTGAACGGAGAAGTCATTTGTAGCTATTCCAACTTTTTCAAAAGTCAATGCCGTGTTGTATGTCACCGTGGATTTGAGTTGTCTATCCCCAACATCACACCACTAACATGTGGAGAGGAACGCCAGTGGAGCGAAGCTATTCCCAAGTGCATCAGTAAGTCGGATAATATATTCATAGAAATTATTGCCAATTGTGTGTAACGTTTTATACAATCATTGAAAATTGTGTCGTAACAAGAATATCAATAACCTCTTTTTTTTCTCTTTTCCAATTTTAAGGTAAGGTGTGTTCAAAATCCTACACGTTACTGATGAATGGGCAGGTTCAGTGTGACGGAGAGGTTAAAAACACACATGGAAGCGTATGTTACTATACGTGCAACCAAGGCTTTCAGCTGATTGGAAAAGATGAAATTAAATGTGTAGAGAACAGCGACGGTCGTGTGCAGTGGAGTGAGCTGGTCAAACCTAGATGTAAAAAACAAGAATTTTAATTTGAGTTGATATTTTTTTAACTTGTTTTCATTTAAAACAGAAATAAAGCGGGAGTGATCTCCCCTAAATTTTCTCGAATTTTCTTATAAATCACATTGGGGTATATAATCAATTTTTAAATACTTTTTAAAGTAGAATGGAATATCGTAGAACAAGAGTTGCGCATAATAACAAGAATTACAGCGATAAGTACATTGACTACCATACACATTTTTAAAGTCTGCTCCTTTGCAATTAACGATTCCGTTGCTAATACTTTAGTAATTTTCGAGACAAAGTATAGCTGAAAATGTAATCAATATAGTATTATTATCTATCTATACTCTAACAAGGGGTAAATATTATGTGATAGAATTTATGTGAAAACATGAACTGCCTTTAAACAGCAATTTTAAAATATTTCAGAATTAAATAAAATATAATAGTATACGAAACTTTAGTTAAAGATAGTGCACTATGTAAAAAAATATGTCTGATCTAGACACTTTCCCGGTATCGTCAATTATGCTTTGTCGCACAATGTCATTGAAAAACAACAATTGTTTTATTTCTGTGGTGACATTGTAATTCACATATTGTACCAAATTATTTTTATCGCAACTGTAATCTTCGTGGATCAGCTGAATTGGAGCTTTGCGTAACAATATTACACAGAAAAAAAAGTTGACACAAACGTTACTCTATCTCTATCTCTGTCAATATTTCTATCTTTATCTATGGCTCTTTTTACATTTACGTTTAATTTATGTTTTCTTGCATTTATGTTGTTTACATATTTTATAAACTACGTGGCACATTTCAAGATGAAGTGAAATAAGGTGTAAGAAATAAATCTTTCTTAATATCATGTTATCATCACATATAGGCTTTTCAGAACTAAATGTTTGATCTGAATTACACTCTGATGTTGCTCTAGCATTTATTTTAAATCCATCATGACAATCAAAACGACAAAAACTGATGTATGACCTGGAGCACTGTACATTTCCATTTTTAATAGTTAAATAATCAGAATTACAATTTCACTCTGAATCGAAGTGTGTAATTAATGCCTTTTTTTCTAATTTCCATGTATTAACTTGCTTCCATTATACAATTACTTTAGTCTCCTACCTTCACATGCATGTTTTGAATTGTTCCATTTTCCACTACTATTGCAAAAGGTCTTTATTGATCTATTTAAGAAATATCAACCTAGGCATGTGTAGCTACACATAGACTTCCGAATTCATTACCACGAATACATTTTTTTTTCCATTATTCAAACCAGGTTCTTTGCTAAAACATCTTTTTGACTCAAAATAAATACATTTTACTTATTATTTATCACAAAAACTTAAACATTTGTTCTAAAATAACAGCATTATGTTTCATTATACATATAAAATGAACATTTTTAACAAATAATGTTGTATAAATAAACAGTTCATTAAAAAAAGAAAGCTTGAAAAACACTTGTCTTTTTTCTGGTTTCTATTCAACTGCATTTGATACATTATAATATATATTATAAATAGTACGATATTGCATTTCTCTAATTATATCTGAGTAATTAGAATAATAGCTATGCCTCTTATACTTAACTGGTTGTGCGGTCTAAGAATCCAAGATAATGTGTAAATATTAACAGCTTTTTAAACCTTTATAACTTTTCTTGCAAAAACGTTAAATCAAATATAATTATAGGTTGAAATTGCTCATAACAATGAATACAATGTTGTTTTATTTTCATGCTAGTATGCATTATTTAATACAAAAGTGTCTTTATTACAACGTACAAAAAAAAATTCATAAAAAACGTTTTAATAACAAGCTTTTATGTAATAATGCACAAAAAAGTAGAAAATAAATTATAGACTACTATTTAAATAACTATAAAGAAAAGCGTGGGTTGCTTTAGTATCTATTGGATACCTTTACTAATGTTAAGGAATATCCCCACGCGTTTTTTTTATAGTTATTTAAATAGTAGTCAAAAATTTATTTTCTACTTTTTAGTGCATTATTACTTAAAAGCTTGATATTAAAACGTTTTTTATGAATTTTTTTCTCAGTACTTTACTTTCTTCGGCAACATTGTTCTAAATTATGGCAGGAATCGATTGGTACATGTTTCAAGTCGCTAAGTGGTCTGGTTGCCGAGATATGGGCCAAAAACTGCATTTTTTCGAGGTTTTTTGGCTTTTCCGGGAAATCCATGAAAGAAACCCGGAATTTGTATGGCCTATGCTCATCCTCGTAACTTGCTTAACATAATTGCTTTTGAAACTAGTCATCGATATTGCTTCGTTGAGGAGGAGATACGACTTAAAGCTGCGGACACACATCCATACATTCCCTGAAATGACGAGTTAATAAACGCAATTCTCCAGAATGGAAATTGCGCTAAAAAACACAAACGAAACTTTAACCTGAGAGGAAACTACAAAAAGACAAAATAAGAAAACTAGCACAAAAACCAAATGTTATAAACGACACTTTAATCGATTTGATTTATTAAAGCAAATTAAACATTGCAAAATGAATACGTTTTGTTTAAATTGTTAGTTAATATATATTTATATTTTTATACGTATGTATGCTTTGTATATGCGTGTACGCATATGTCTGTGTGTGTGTGTGCTAACATTGAAAATATTCAAAGAATAGCATGTACAGTGAAATCTTCACACTCTTTAACTGTTTTGCACCAGACCCAGGTCACACAGATTCGACACCACACCTTTTCACATTTCTCTATATAATATTGTTGTTTGAGATAACGACACATCAGGAGGAAATACTACTTTCCTTTTGTGCGCCGACAGTGTTGATTGGAGAGTACAGATAAGCTCTAATTTAGAACGTGATTCAATAGGCAATACCGCTACAGCACTAACTTATATAATGCAAACACAAATGCAAACACAAACACAAACACAAAAAAAAACGCAAACAAAAAACCAAAAGAAAACAAACCAAATCCAAACGCAAACACAAACACAACCCTAACCACAAACGCAAACCCAACCACAACACAAAGAAAGCAAACACAAACACAAACATAAACACACAGTGCTCAAAGTCTAGCAAGGGGCGCCAAATCGCACCATGCTGGGGCGCCGGCAGAACCGCCTGTTGCAGCTTAGTAAACGACTATATTACAACAATTTATACATAGTCTTTTGCACTCACTCGTTGACGCCATAGCGAACACGGAAAGAACGGAGAAGTCAAATAACACCATTTTGGCGTGTCGGAGGACGCTCGGATTCGTTTCACTTAAAGACTATCCATAGTCTATCGCACTGTTTAAAACAAAAATATACACCACAGCGCCCACATGATAGCCCAGGTCGCACTGTTTAAAACAAAAATATACATCACAGCGCCCACATGATAGCCCAGGTCGCACTGTTTAAAACAAAAATATACACCACAGCGCCCACATGATAGCCCAGGTCGCACTGTTTAAAACAAAAATATACACTACAGCGCCCACATGATACCCCAGGTCGCACTGTTTAAAACAAAAATATACACTACAGCGCCCACATGATAGCCCAGGTCGCACTGTTTAAAACAAAAATATACACTACAGCGCCCACATGATAGCCCAGGTCGCACTGTTTAAAACAAAAATATACATCACAGCGCCCACATGATAGCCCAGGTCGCACTGTTTAAAACAAAAATATACACTACAGCGCCCACATGATAGCCCAGGTCGCACTGTTTAAAACAAAAATATACACTACAGCGCCCACATGATAGCCCAGGTCGCACTGTTTAAAACAAAAATATACACTACAGCGCCCACATGATAGCCCAGGTCGCACTGTTTAAAACAAAAATATACATCACAGCGCACACATGATAGCCCAGGTCGCACTGTTTAAAACAAAAATATACACTACAGCGCCCACATGATTGTCATGTCGCACTGTTTAAAACAAAAATATACACCACAGCGCCCACATGATAGCCCAGGTCGCACTGTTTAAAACAAAAATATACATCACAGCGTCCACATGATAGCCCAGGTCGCACTGTTTAAAACAAAAATATACATCACAGTGCCTACATGATAGCCCAGGTCGCACTGTTTAAAACAAAAATATACACTACAGCGCCCACATGATAGCCCAGGTCGCACTGTTTAAAACAAAAATATACATCACAGCGCCCACATGATAGCCCAGGTCGCGCTGTTTAAAACAAAAATATACACCACAGCGCCCAAATGATAGCCCAGGTCGCACTGTTTAAAACAAAAATATACATCACAGCGCCCACATGATACACCAGGTCGCACTGTTTAAAACAAAAATATACATCACAGCGCCCACATGATAGCCCAGGTCGCACTGTTTAAAACAAAAATATACACTACAGCGCCCACATGATAGCCCAGGTCGCACTGTTTAAAACAAAAATATACACTACAGCGCCCACATGATAGCCCAGGTCGCACTGTTTAAAACAAAAATATACATCACAGCGCCCACATGATAGCCCAGGTCGCACTGTTTAAAACAAAAATATACACTACAGCGCCCACATGATAGCCCAGGTCGCACTGTTTAAAACAAAAATATACACTACAGCGCCCACATGATAGCCCAGGTCGCACTGTTTAAAACAAAAATATACATCACAGCGCCCACATGATAGCCCAGGTCGCACTGTTTAAAACAAAAATATACACCACAGCGCCCACATGATAGTCCAGGTCGCACTGTTTAAAACAAAAATATACACCACAGCGCCCAAATGATAGCCCAGGTCGCACTGTTTAAAACAAAAATATACATCACAGCGCCCACATGATAGCCCAGGTCGCACTGTTTAAAACAAAAATATACACCACAGCGCCCACATGATAGTCCAAGTCGCACTGTTTAAAACAAAAATATACACCACAGCGCCCACATGATAGCCCAGGTCGCACTGTTTAAAACAAAAATATACATCACAGCGCCCACATGATAGCCCAGGTCGCACTGTTTAAAACAAAAAT